GTTTTATCTCCTTTGCTCCGGAGCTCCCGGTGGCCTCCCCTTGCCCCCCCCCCCCCCCCCCCCCGCTCCCCTTCCCCGCCGCCCCCCCCCCCGCCGCCCCCCCCCCCCCCCCCCCCCCCCGCTACCCTCCTCCTCGTCCCGCATGCCTGGGAAACAAGAAGTAGAGGCAGAGGTGCGGCAGGCTCTGGCGGGAGCCCTTACCGGGACCGGGTGCCCGTCCAAGTCAGAGCTGATCTTCCTCAGGTTCAGCAGCTCCGCCTCGGGCAGGAAGCCAGCTTCAGCCCAGACCGCGTACAGGATGGGAGCTGCATGGCCCTGCCGGGAGATGGACAGTGGGGTGGGGTCAGGTGGGGAGTGGATCCGCTTGGGGCTGTGCCTACTGCACACTGAGCCCTGGGGCCTGGCCGAGCTGGCCAACTGCAGCATCCATTTCAGGGGAGGAAGCAAGTGAAGGCCACTTCTCCCCTTTCAGTCCTCTTCAGTCTCTTGGTTTTCAGCCCAAAGTTCCCACAGCCAAGGCCAGGCGACACCAAGACAGGTGCAGGGGGCACAGCTGTGAGGCTAGATGAAGCCAAAACCCCAGCAGGCAGCCGGCCGCCCTAATCCCTGGTTTCTGGCATGGGAACAACTTGGACAGACTTCTAAGCTCTAAAACCTGCCCTGAGAGACCAGACACCACGGAGGCCAGCCTGGGCACAGGTGGATTTCAGGGGTCTGTGGCTGTGATTCCACCCAGAAGGGGCAGCTCAGGGGGGTCCCCATACAAAACCCAGCTAGAACACACCACTACCCCTGAGGGGGGCAAACCATGGCTTGGGGAGTGCTGGGGCAACAGAAAGAACAGGCAGGGAGCCCCAACCCAGACCTAGATGCCAGTCCTGCCTGTCAACACCCAGACTGGGCAGAACACACAGATGTTTCCATGGTCCCTACTCCATTTCTCTGGGTTAAAGCGTGGTTAGTGTACCCGGGCTCCATGGAAGAGCAACCCATTCAGTCCTGTATTCCTTAGCCAGCTGGGTCAGCACAGAGCAGGACACTGAGGGAGGGGCCAGGACGAACAGGGAGAAGGAACCTGGGAGAGGTGGGCTCAGCCAGGCCTCCTCAGAGACCACTCACCATTCCAGGGCCCGTGTGACCCCAGTCCCAGGCAAGGTGCGACTGGCAGTGGGCAGCTGGGCTCTTACCTTGGAAAGCACGAAGCGGTCATTGTGCGGGTTCCGGGGGTCCTGGGACTTGTAGCGCATGGTGTGGAAAAAGAGGACAGCCATGATCTCTGCAGCGCTGCAGCATGACGTGGGGTGGCTGTGGCCCAGGAGAGAAGACAGACACATGCATCATGGCCCTGGACCCCTGAGCTGTCCTGCTCAGCTGTACAGGCACCTGGGGGTGCATGTCCCGAGCAGTCACACAGGCCAGGCTTATCAGACAGCCACGTGCTCTTGGTCCCTGGGTGGGTGACACAGGGTCTCAAGAAGGCCACACTGGCAGCTTGGGGCCTGGGCCAGCTAGTGGGTGGCGGGACTGTCACACCTTCCCAGGGGCACCAGATCCTCAGAATCATGGTAACTGAAAGTATCTGGGGTTGGACTTGAGTAAGAAGGAAGGAGGGGCCCAGGAGAGATCTAGCACAGAAGAACCAGCCCAAGGCTGGCACTGCGGCTGGGGCGCCTACTGTTGGGTAGAGCCCAGTTCCCACCTGGTGGCCCCCAGGAGTCTAGGGACTCAGCAACCAAGGGGCGCCCGCCCTCCTACAACTGACCCCACATCCTGAAGTGACTGCCCAGACCCTGCCCGCTTGTGAAGGGCACCCTGACCTCTCAGCACCCAGGGATGTTGGGCCTGAGCCCATGGGGCAGGGAGTAACTGAGGCTCATGGAGTTACCACAAACCTCCCAGCAGCCTCCATGCATGGGGTGTGGTAGCCTGAAAAACTGGGCCTTGGGCTTTCCAGCTGCATCACTGGGCTACTGGAAAGCTTTAGAAATGGGCAATTTGAGGGCTGGTGGAGCTACCGGGAAGCAGGCTTTTGTGCAGAATTTTCAAAGCAAGACACACAGTCTCATTGTCTACAAGGCTACGATCACGTATTAATAAAAACGCCTTCTGCCTATGGACAGGGGCTGAGGTGGGGCCGACAAAGCAAGAATCTGCCCTCCAGTCTGGGAGTGGTAGCGCCATGGAGACCCCTTGACTTTTTAGATTCCTGTTTTAATCACAGAGCGGCTACTCAGCAATAGAAAATGCAAACGTCACATTTTAGGGATGGGACTCATTCAGGTCTCTTAGGCCCCACGTGAGTAATCCATAATCTAGCCCCTGCCAGGGAGAGGGGCTAGAGGCTGGGCTTCCTGCTGGGAAGTGCTGCAGGTCCTGGTCAGCCCTGAAGCCCCCGGTCCCAGGGTTTTGTTAAAAGGTCAGCCACAGGACACAGGCCTCCCAGGGGGGCCATTCCACATGCAGCTCAGCTCAGCCCTCTCGCTGCTCCCTGAGGTCCTTCACATGAAGACACGCCCCATGCCAAGCCCAAGGGCACATGCACCATCTGGAGCTCACGCCACCAACCTCCCGCCCCCTCCGGTCAGCGCTCCCACCGGGTTAGGGGTGAGTCGCACTCAGTGCAGACAAGTTAGTAGTAGAGAAATCCGGGAAACTGTCCATGCTGGTTTAGTACCAACATTCTTGCACACGATCATCTTATACTTAACTATTTCTATGAACTCCCGGTCATGGGAAAAGACACTACACCTGAAAGAGGGAGGTGAGGACATGGTAAATGAGAAACCCTTTTCTGCCTGGCAGGAACCCTAATCCCATGCTCCCAGTGCCAGCTTCAGCTGGAGGTCACCCCAGTCAGGCTGACCTCTCATCCTTCCCACCTCCAAGGGCAGCCCCAGCCCTGAGGGACCCTGTTTCTCAAGCCACGGTCCCATTAGGAGGAAGCCTTGGTGGGAGAAGGATGTGGGTGGACACTGGGCCAAGCGTTCCGGGAAGGAAGAAGGATGGCAAGTGCAGGGCTCCACCTGCCCTGTCCACCTTGATACCCCAGGGCGACAGTCCCACTGGCCACCAAGGAGTTCCAGGGAGAAACGGTATGTATGGCACAGGCTCTTTCTGCATGTGGCAGGGGCATGCCCAGGCCCAGATAGAGTAGACGTGGAGAGAGGAAGGTCAGCCACGAGGTGACAGCGAGGGAGAGAAGTAGAAGCTGCAGCTGATCCTCAGCCTTCCTTGCTAGGCCTCCAGCCTTTCATCCCCTCCAAAGGCTGCATCCAGCCTCCTGCGGGCACACTGTTCACTTCCACCAGGTGAACACAAAAGAAGGAACGCTTAGGAGCCAAGTGTCCCCCGACTCCTCCCCAGGCTTTTGGGGCTCTCCCTCAGCAGAGCACCCTGGGTTGGGAGTGTGAGCTGTGCCACTTGGGCTTGGTGACTTGAGCAAGTGCTTCACCAACCCAGGGCTCAGCTTCTTCACTTGGGAGAGCATCTGGGAGATGCAGTGAGATAACGCACGCACAGTACCCAGGTCTCTGGCAGCTGCCACCACCCACCAGGGGACCAACCCTCTCAGCACCTCCAGCTCTTTATCTACAGGCTGGGATGGTGACATCCCCCACCACTGCTGGCCACAGACAGGCAAGAGGGAAGAAATAAACGAAGGACTGAGGCCAAGCTGTGCACACTGTGAAGCACTGAGCACACAGGAGACAGTTACTTTCAGGCTCAACTTACTAGAGGGCCTTTGGGGCCAAAAGCATACATTTAAGCCTGTAGTCTCCTCCGGGCTGGAGTTTTTCCTGCCATTCATTCCAGACTGCCTGCACAACTGCAGGTGGATGCCCCATTCCGTGGCGCTGTGTATGACACTCTGGGTGAACACTGGCGGGAGATGAGACGAGGAGCGTGGTGGAGAGGCTGCAGAGCACTTATTGTACACCCCGGCTCTGGGATAAACCAGGCTTACAAGCATACTTGACGGTTTGCCAAAACAAACAAGCCCTGCCTTGGCCAGACAGTCCACTTATAGCCCCAATTAGTCCAACCTGTGAAGGTACTGTGCACAGCTTAGAACCAGACCCAAAGAAATGTGCTTAAAGCCTCCCCCACCACCACTCCCCTCCACGACAGCATAGATACTTCTAGATGTCCCCTGGCCAGGAGGCCCTCTCATCGCTTCAGTGCGCACTGCACCTGCTTACAGGATTCCATGCAGGAAAAGGCCAGAGTGGCTCCCTCACGCGCCGGCCGGGCTCCTTCAAGAGATAATAGACATCAGGCCAGGCGAGGCGGCCCACACCTGTAATTCCAGCACTTCGGGAGGCTGAGGTGGGCAGATCACCTGAGGTCAGGGGTTTATGACCAGCTTTGCCAACAGAGTGAATGAAACCTGTCTCTACTAAAAATACAAAAATTAGCCTGGCATGATGGCCGTGCCTGTTATCCCAGCTATGTGGGTGGCTGAGGCAGGAGAAATCTCTTGAACCTGGGAGGTGGAAGTTGCAGTAAGCCAAAGTTGCGCCACTGCACTCTAGCCTGGGCAACAGACTCCATCTAAAAAACAAACAAACAAACAAAAAAACACCCAAAAATACTCAGGAAACAACCCCAGGATGTCAGGGAAGACATCTTCCTATGCCTTGAACTACCTGAGCTGGCTTCTGCCTGGAAAGAACTTCTGGCTCCAGACCTCAGACTGTATCTTCAGATCTCTGCCCTGTGTCACCTCCTCCAAAAAGTCCTCCCTGACCACACTATCTGAAATAGCTCTTCTTCCCCTCACTCATGCTTGCCACCTGACATTATGTGGTTATTTCCTGTCTGCCCTACTGGAATACAAGCTCCCTGAGGACAGAGCTTTGGGCCTTACACTGGCCCAAATGACTCGAGCCCAGGAATTTGAGACCAGGCTTAGCAATGCACCCTGTCTCTACAAATAATTTTAAAAATTAGCTGGGTATGGTGGTGAGTGCCTCCCAGCTACTCAGGAGGCTAAGGTGAAAGGTTTGCTTGATCCCGGGAGGTCAAGGCTGCAGTGTGCCATGACCATACCATTGTACTCCAGCTTGGGGACACAGTGGAGACCCTGCTCCCCCCTCCCCCAAAAAAGGAATGAAGTACTGATTCATACAACATGGATCATACAACATGGATGACCCTCTAAAAATTATGATAAGTTAAAGAGGCCAGACCCAAAAGAACTCATTCTG